CAATAGTTCATACCTCGATTATATAGCTAACTTGGATTAGGCGTGTTTGTATGGTGTGTGGAACTACTGGGATTTGGACAACACTGGCTGTTTGCAAAACGTACTCCTCGTCCGGCAAGACGGACCTGCTGCTGTAGGTCATAACGTCAACAGAGCCATTACGAACACGTTGTTCAGGAGTCTCTGCCTTTGTTGTGACATTCTGAAATGTAGGTTAATGACATAATGTTATACATCAACATTATACCTAAAATCACTTTCGGTAATTTAAAGTTCAAACAAGACGAGTGGAGGAGCGGTAGTGCTGGGGTGCCACTAAACTACAGCCTTAACATTGGCGCCGGTTCGACACACTCTTCGTCCAGGGCTCGGTTCGTTGAACCAAATATTCTCGAAAAAGGACAAAAAGGAAAAGCGCGATGTACACATTCGGTTTGCGTGCAGTTGAAGAACCTATTGCGTCTTTAGGAAGAGTAGTCGATTGTGGATTATTCTCCTACCTTTACCTTAACCCTCAAACCATGTGGCCTCTCAGACCTAACACTTTATTGCTACTGTGTTATGTAAATTTGAATCAATGACAATAAATTTTACTACTGGGCAGTTATAAGTTAGAAATTATTGTATAAGTTATGTTTGATCAAGATTTGATTTACGTAAAATGTGTATGTACCTTAAATATGTTAAATACATGTTAAGGAAGTTATTACCGGTAACTTTTAATTATTTTTGTACACTTAGGTAGATAAGTAAAATAAAAGTAACTTTTAATAAGTAAATTATATGTCATTGTATGTTTGTTTATACTTTGTATGTTTCTGTATTTCAATGATGCACTTTCTTGATTTGCAAATAAGGTAAATATTTTATACATTTTTTGCAAGTGCTTCTTGCATTTTTTACTTTACCTGTATCAGTTTGACTCCTAGTTTCATGGTGCTGTCTGAGTTATTATCCAGCTTGGTTCTGATATTAACAAATTCACCTGGGCAATAAGCTGTCCGTTGTAGTTCCACCTTCAAGGCCATTGGCCGCACCACACGACAGCAAAATCCTTTACTCTTCTTTGTGGAACCGAGCACAGGTTTCTGGAGAAAAATCGAATATTCTTTTTAAGGCTATTATTAGATATTGACTTTCTTACTTAAACTTCCTTTTAATTTAAAAATTATTTTTTTCTTCTTTATACTTGGTATCCTGTTGAGTAGATATTTTTTATTGTTCTCCCACACAGCTCTGTTTATGCTTTAATAAAATCTCGTTCAAAATACGACCTTACCCATTTCTATTTTTGAACGGGTAGAACGGGATCGAATTTTAATGGTCGGCGTTCTGGACTACCATTGCCTACCTTGACCGTTCATACCATTCGTACAAAGATTGCATTCGATGTCTACTACGTCCATTCCGTTCATATTCCGTTCGATGTGAAGGGGGTATTACTAAATCCCATGAGACTTGAGGAGTGAAGTTGCTTTAGTCTTGAGAAAAAATTCTGCAATCTCAGGAATTGAACCCATGACCATGAGTTTGGAAGGCATGCATCTTAACCACCAAGCAATTCAACTCCACTCTATTTTAGCAATCATGTTTATGTTGAATAGAATTACCATTATTATTGTTGTCAGTATAAATTATTGGGCAGATTTCGCCTTATCGAGATTCCAACCTAAATCTGTACTATACCTGTGAGGCCAATTCGCTACTGTATACTGTTTCATTTTTCAGTAGCACATTATAAATTTATCATTTTGTATTAAAATATCTTGAAAGTAAATTAGGCCTACCTGATATTTTGGTAGATTTGGATCAATCGGAGAACCAATGAACGAAAAATAGTGTTCAGCCAGTGGATCTACCGCCCATGATATATTTATTGTAGCCTGGACAAAATAGCGTACACAAGCAACCCGACCACATTCTAGACTGCACGGCAAATCATCTTCATCCGGAAGAATAAATTCGAAGGGAAATGTATGCTGACCTGCTTGGAGTAATGGCAACTCTTTCTGATCTTCTTCGTCTTCTAAATAAATTGAAAATAGTATGCAAAAATAGTTATTCGTATCCTCATATTCGCAAATCACCAGATTTAAATAATGTATTGATAAAACAAATGTTTATGGCAGGGACGTATTCGGGGCGGGGGAGCCGTGGGATCTGCGGCTCCCCCCTGTAAAGCTCCCCCCTGTAAACAGTGTTAGAATTTTAAAGCTTGTTCTTGCTAGTAAATAGGCCTACACATTCTTTCCTGGGATCACTCAAAATAAATACTTAAATACAAAAATAAAATATGTAAATATGCATCAGCACATATGATAGTTTGGTGATGATTTAAATACTGTACAATTTTGACTCCTACTGCAGGTTTGTGACCCGTGCTCTCATAAAAACCCACCATAACCTTCTATCAATAAAAGTCACACGCTAACCCGAGGTAACCTAGTGGAATATTCGTTAGATTAATCAATTTTAACTGTACACGATAATGCAAAAATAAAAATTTTCGGATTTATAACGGCTACTTCTCAAGAGGTGGATTTAGCAAGCTTACTTAACAACAAAAAAATCAATTTAAATTGGCCTTAAATCCATAAATCCCAGGCCATGTCTTTTAAAATACAAAAATGTGATATTGTATGGTTAAGATTGGTTTCTATCCTTTTGCAAGCATTTATAAAGTTTTGTTTAATACTACCTCTACTAGTAGTAGAAGTAATAATAATGATGATGACGACGGTAATTATGATAATAAATAATAATATTAATAATATAAAAAGGTGGAAAAAAGGGAACTTGTGATTTGTCGATCATAATTATTATAGTAGTTAAAGCTTAGTATAGTTGGGCCTAAGTTGTCCTAGAAATTAAGTAGATCTCCATGGTTGCAGAAAATCCCTGATAATTGATCATGAGAAATTTGTTGGCTCTTCGTTTTGATTATAATATGGTGATGTGATGATGATAAATTTTACTAGGCCTATATAAAAGTGTCATTTCTGCCCATCTGAAGTACTATTTCCTCAAATTTTCTTTGGGGCTGAGGTTGTTGTAAAATCACAGCTTTGAAGTATCTAAAGTACATACTATCAAATACTGTTTTTTAAGCTTTATTGTTTATGGTACATGACACATATTAATCAGATCTCTATGGTTGCCGAAAATCCGTTATGAAAGATCATGAGAAATGTATTGGAGCTTTATATAATGGTGATGGGATGATTATGAATTTTACTGAAAGTGTCATTTCTGGCCATATAGAGATACTATTTCCTAAAACTTTCGCACCTCAGCACCAACCGTGGTGGGACTGAGATGGGTGTGGACTCACGAAATGTCTCCCCATCCAACACCTTTCAAAGCAGATCTGCGCCTTTCCCTGGGTATGGCATTAAAATCCATCAAGCTGGCACCTGACTCAGATTGTGACTGTAGGGAGGGTGCATAAATTTTATTTTCAGGATGTGATCTGGTTTTTCATGCCCATTTGACTATTTTGGATAAATAATGTTTAGAGCAGGGAGCATTGGATTCAAGGTGTCCCTCCCCCCCCCCCCACCACCCAAACATCAAGATAATTATGTTCATATTTAAGTCTGAGAGTGTAATTTCCGGCCATCTAGAGGTGACTTAATCATAAATTTTCTTACCTCAGCCCCAACTATGGTGGGGCTGAGATGTGTAGACCCTTCATGTGTAAAAGTCCCTTCCTTGGTCAACTTTCTTTCGAATTCCTGGATCCGCCACTATTGAGTTATTATTGTTAGGCTTACTAATATTATTAAATAATAAATTTTATGATGCGTCTATTGCAATTTTCACTTTGTCCTCTCAAAGCGGTCCTTAAACGTTCAGAGTGCTACCTCCCAGGAGCTTCGCCCCTGCCCTCCGGGGCCCTTGGCGTCCCCCAGCTGTAGGAAGGAGAACACCCAACCCTTCGCTTGGTACTACGTACCTCGCATAACGACTCCCTCCCCCACCCCTCTTTCAAAATCCTGGCTACGTCCCTGGTTTATTGTGCAAGTTTGAAGATGTATGGCACTACAGCTAGACAATAGAAGTGTATCTCATTTGCTGCAAACTATGTGGAATTGAACTATAAAGTAAACCTTACATAAAACCAAATACGTCACTTCTTTACGAATTACATATGTTATTCGCAAATCAACAGATTAGAATATGTATTGATAAAACAATGTTTATGGTGCAAGTTTGATAATGTAACACACTACAGCTAGACATGAAAAGTGTATCTGAGTTTGCTGAAAAGTATGTGGAATTGAACTTAAAGTATGCACTTATTAGATTGTAAAGATATCGACAACGCTCAAAAATAGTTCAGGTTTTTTTCGTTCAAGATTGAAATGAACTTGAAATTGTAAAACATTTTGTTTCAAACTAAATTTTAGCTTAAGGCTTTCGACAGTGTATGAAATTAATAGTTAATTCAACTAGAATAGCATAATGTGTTTATTATGACACGTGTGATTCGAGTAGCCGAGTGGTTTTAATTAGCAGTAAGTCAGGGGTGTCGCTAACTGCCTTAACATCGGCGCTGGTTCAAAACGCTCTTCGCCCAAAAGCTCGGTTGATAGAACCAAATCTTCTCGGATAAGGTCTGTTCTACACATCTGGCTCTTGTGTACTTTAAAGAACCCATTGCGTTTTTTTAGAAGAGTAGGTGTCTACCTCGATGCTATGGTTCATTTCAGACTCTGTCGTTGTGAAGTGATGTGAACGTAAAAAAAAATACATTTAACCAATCATCCAATCAATCACCAATTAGTCAATTAAGTCAAAGACAAAGTATTAAAAAAAATGTTATTCAGTAGTTTTATTCCATCTAGTAGAAAGCACTAAAGACAGTGTTCTTTTATGTTTATTAGTGAGGAAAGACTATCGTTGTACTAAGCCCAACATCAATACTAGACACTGGTACTCAATAAATAAATAATTTGTTGAAGAATTCAGACGTAAGTGATCCGGTTCCTGTAATACTATTATTAGATCTTTCTAATAACAGGTTGCAACGCAGGTGCTGTGGGCTTCATGTCTTTGTTCTTCGTAAACGGCCGCCAGAGAAATAAACTGTCAATGCGTATACTTCTGAAAAGGTATACATTTCTCAATAATAATAATAATAATAATAATAATAATAATAATAATAATAATAATAAAAAATTCTAATTGTTATTATTAGAGTGTAATATATAATTGACGATGTAAATTATAATATGTATGATAATAATCATATTAATAGGCTAGCACAGCTATTATAAAGATTATTGACAGTATAGAAGCTAGTAAATCTAAAATAATAATAAATTATAATACAATAATTACATAACTTATATATATATATATATATATATATATATATATATATATACGCTTTTTAATATACTTTCTCCTGGTATTTCAACTAGGATCGCCTGATTATGCAGACCAAATGATGTTTAATTTATGATAATATTACTAGCCCTTTCATTATAAAGCCATTTTTCATTTGAAAAATACAATGAAGGTTACCATGGAAAAGAGTAATCAGAAAGCTGCGTGAGTAATTGTCGTGACACCAATTCGCATTATATTTACGTTTTCTTTCTCTCTTTCTTTAGAGGGTTTTATTGTAAGAATCAGTTTAAAAACCAGAAATATTAATAAATTAAACATAAACACAAAATGGTACCATTTGTTATGTTTAAAACACTAAAAGGTGAAACACTGTTAGGTAATCATCAGTGTATTGATTATTATGGTTGAACAACTGCAAACATGATATACAGAATCGAGATGGTACAGTTTGCTTTGATACGTTTAACGCACTTGGGTAGTCACGAACAATAGTACAGTACATCATCGTCTATTGTGAAGTACAATCCATTGCATACATCATAGCGAAATGCAATTAAATGTATGTACAAGCGATGTGGTCATTAAGATTTTAAATTGACAGAATACGAAGTGACATGTTTTACAAGCCATTTACACTTGCTATTATTTTCAGTCGTAGTGCGTCGTAAAATCAAAATGTAAACCAATATTCAATATTTTTCAACAAATCTTTTGAAGTTATAATTTAAAATTTTATTTTTATATATTGTTTTTGATATTTTATATTATGACTATTACTAGCATTATTTTATTATTATTAATACAACTATCTATATTATAATTACCGTCATCATTATCATTTTCATTGCAATTGCTATTGTGGGTGTCATTGTCTTTATGGTTGTCTTTATTATCATTATCATTTTCGCTGTCGCTGTTGTTGTTCGTGTCGTTGCTGTCATATAATTATAACTCATTTCGCTACGAAGTCGCTAAAGGATTGAATTAAATAACTGTTGCTCATTCAGTTTAATGATGTAATTGTTTCTGGTTTAAGGAAGTTAATAAATGTTGATTTGATATGATTTGATTGTCATATTTTTATATAAACCTGTAAATTAAATGAACTTCTTCCTTTATTTCCATTGTAGGCCTACTGCTGTAATGTCCATGGTGTCTTTTAACAGTTCATAAAAATGTATCATTACACGGTGACCAATTTTTTTTCCAGCAGATCGAAGTGTTTTGTAATGCTTTTTCATTTCTTTTAAAAATACTGCATTACAGAGTTTTATTGTTTTCTAGTATATTTATTTCACGGTGGAATATTTTAAGTTTCTGTCATATATCTGTAATTTTTCCGTATGTTTTGTTACATCTTAGAATAAGATGACGCAATATATGACGCATTATAAATGTTTTTCACCATCATCACCGTAATCATTACCATCATCATCATCATCATCATCATCATCTTTATCATTATCTTCCTTATCATCATCATCATCATCATCATCATCTTCATCATCATTACCTCAACATCATCATCATCATCATCATCATCTTCATCATTATATTCTTCTTTATCATCTTCATCATCATCAATGTTATCGTCATCACCATCATCATCATTATCATCATCATCATCATCATCATCATCATCATCATCATCAATTTCATTTATTTCGTCTTCGCAACACAATAAAGAAAGATGAACTATTAAGAGGTAGACGGGATAATCTAAAAGTTGAATTAAATCAACCATTTAGTGATTCTCCACCATCATTATCATCTCCACCATATCATCATTTTTTTTAAATTATTGTTATTACAATTATACTTGTTATTGATATCAATGTGAGTAACATCGACTTCACGATCAGAATCAAAACAAAGTGCCAGTGTTTCCTTGGGTCGTCTCAGCTTCGCTAAAACTCACATTCCTAGTAAATTCCTATTTATGTTGAATGAGGTGGAGATAGACAAGTGTAGAATAGGCCTAGGGTGCCTAACATAATGGCACGATTTAATCATGAGAATGGGGAAAGCGGGGGGAGGTGGAAATGAAATATACGCTATTTTGATTGCCAATCCCTAATATTGTGGTCTAAAAGCACAATTTGGGCTAAACTAAGACGTGACATCTCTCCCCCATGAATCCCCAACCAGGGATTTGTTTTGTCCGGGACCCTGACTGAGGCTCCAGTCTGGCCCTTGGTTCGGAGCCCGCTGTCGCCCAAGTCGGACTCCCTTTCGGCAAATTTCTTGAGTCAACGTACCACTGTGATCTCCATTATTCTCAAATTATAAGGAAAATAATTTCAATGTTATTTTCTAATTTTGAATGATTATAACAATTGATTTGATTGATCAATTATTGGTTTATTGATTTATTGAACTATTAACTGATTGATAATATACATATCTATGTTAATAAACAAATCCTTACCGTTTCCCCAAAGGGTTCTCTTAATGCATAGAAACGTTTCCAATCCTTTAACAATACTTCCTCGCTTATCGCCAGTAACGTTCACCACAGGTTTCTCGCGCCATTGTGTCCTCGTTTCCCCTTTTAAGGATGCCCGAATACCTGAAACAACAATCATTATATCTCAAACTGTACTTGGGGGCTTTTGCATAATTATTACATGATTTTCGATTTTCACATAAAATATTAAAATTGTTTGCTGTTTTATAGTTTATTTATTTTCCTGCTTATTCTGATCTTTATATTTATTATTCTAATATAAGTATATGTTTAATTTAAATTTATGAACAATATAAGTATATATTTAATTTATAAACATAATGGCATACAATGCTATTATTTATTATTTCATTATTATTATTATTATTATTATTATTATTATTATTATTATAATTATCGAAAATATCATTATCATTATCATTATTATTATTGTTATAATAATAATAATAATAATAATAATTATTATTATTATTATTAGTATAATTTTATTACCTTTGAACTGAAGTTTACTTTACGTCAAATTGAATACAAATGAGTCTATATAATAAGTATTTATCTGTTGACAATAAATTGAAAACTGTTAATGTTTGTTTTTTCAAAGGAAAGTTTCATCATCTATTTTACAATGTGGTTTTCCATTCGGTATGACTGTAAAAAGTAAAGGATGGTCAATAATAGAATGTATTGAGACAACTGTATATTCTCTTGTTGAATATAAATATATATATATATATATATACATATATATATATATAAACATTTCTATTTACTATATATTATATATGTTATAAATTACTGTATACATTAATTATCAAATGAAACTTACATCGTAACATGGTGCTGTTCTTTTAAAGACAGATTTGCCAAAATTATTTGCTGGTATAAAAAGTTTGTACATTTACGTCTACCTTCTTGTAAGTGACGGCAGCATTTGGGGTGGAATCCCCGGCGTTAGACACTTCAAGCCCCCGTCGGACACGAAAATAATAATTCCATTAACATAATTTCTGTAGACTATCAGAACTGCTTAAAATTACACAAAGTTTCCCAGAACCGCTGGGTGTCAATATCTTCACCTATTTACCCATAAACTTTGACATGTGTCTGTGCCTTTCTCGTTGTTTGAAACTGTAAGACAAATATCTTTCTTCACCTACCACTGTAATAATTGGCCCACATTTACCACTGCTTCTGTCAATGCTAAAAAAGGTAAATTTACAACAATACACGAATATAAAACATCATTACTGTACAAATAATCAGTCATAGTTTTAAGAGTTTTCCCGTTTCTCTTCAGTTTTTTTTTAAATATTTAGAAATCAGACTGTATCTTATAGCAAATAATTTTTTTCTTCAAACACCCTTATTTCTTTGTACAACATATCTTTTTTTTTTCTGCCGAAACTGTAATCAAGTCCCTTGGCTATCATAAGTTGGACAGGGACCCATCTCAGGGTAGTGTTGTCTCGATCAGCCCAAATTTCGGCCCTCTTCCGTTTGGACATTTCTGGATCCGCCCCTGCATCTCTTTCAAACCCTGATCCGTCGTGCTACGCCCTTTAATTTACGACGTATTTATTTACTTGCCTGTTACATTGATGGACGTTTTGATATCTCACACTAAAAACGATTGTGAGATAATTCTTGGTCCTGTTCTGATTTGGTCGTGTAATAGTATTTAGATTAACTTAGATTAATAGTTATATGGAAAGCATATCTTAGTGAATGTAAATTCTTTCCTCATGTATTTTTTAAGGGAAAGTGTAGCTTATACGATAAGGTATTACATACTTTACTTGTTACTTTTGCAAAGATACAAAGAAAACACTTCTTCTATTTTAGCTCGTGAGTTGTATGGTTGGTTGTATAAGATGTTAACTGTTTAAATTTAGTTGGCAATCTTATATTAGAATGTCCATTCAGCCAACCTGACCTACATATATAAAACAATACGTAAATACTATCACGTTAAGTTTATTTAGTTAACAATAAATACGTTTTGATGTTGACTCGCGCAAGCTTTCGTCATACTAAAAAACATGAATTCATCAAGCTCTTGGATGGATAGACGAATTTATTTCGTGTAAGCACTAAGGATAAACCACGAAAGTATAAAGAAGTCTTATTTCCAATGGGGTCCTTCCAGGGGTGGCGGCAGGATTTGGGGGGGGGGGGGGGGGGGGGGGGTCGAGGTCACCGATGCCCCCGACGAGGGGTCAGATTTCCCCGACGAAAGCAAAGTAGGTGTGGTCGAGCTTCGATTAAAAGTTTTCGAAAGTGGTCAAGAGGGCGAAGCTACCGAAAAGTTTAACCATTTAGGGGTTTCATAAACTTATTTAATCAACTTTAGAGTCTACTAATATGTAGAAAATACATATATTCTTTTCTCCCCGACGAATTTTGCTTTTTCTCCCCGACAGGAGGGGAGAGGGCAGCTTCTCTCGACGGGGTCCCTGGCCCCGCCCCTTTCCCCCCTCTGGCGCCACCCCTGGGTCCTTCTGGTGGTGATTGGGCACTACTCTTTTCCGAAGTGTGTACTGCCTTCCAACAGCTGAAACGTCTCATCGTAACTTGCATTTCAGCCCTCCAGCTAAAATACAAGGACAGCAGCGATGGGAATTGATCTGGGAAGCAAGAGATCCCCACGGTCCAGCGCACACACAGTGGCCAACACCAGTTTAGGCAACTGAGATAAGCTGCTATCACAAGCTATAATTCGATCAGACGTGATTGGTTGACACTGAAATTTATTTTACCAATACATATAAAAAACATTTAAACAACTACAACTAAACAACTATAATAAACAACTTTTAAAACAACGCAATGATACCTAATGATTTTAATTATATTACACATTTACAACGGTAAAATTACTAATAATTTGTGCTGGACTGCGGGAATACATACACATCTTTACACGTACCTTTAAACTATAAAAAATAACGAAAATAAATAAATCTACATCAATTAAAATATTAGATAAATATTAAATATGTCAAAAATTTACGGTACTATAGGGTACATTTCGTTATTACTTTTAATTAGGATTTTTATTCAAGCTTCTTTATATTTTCAGGCTATTTATTTGCGTTTTCATGTTTAATGTCCCCTCATGCATGTGTAAAGTAAATTATAGTGAAATCCTTATCGCTACAAGGTTGAAATAAAGAAAACCCATTAATTTATAAAATACAAGTTTTACATCAATGCTACGTATATTTTACGTACTGTCGTTTATTGTACTCTTGTGATTAAAATATATAATTATTAATTAACATACATAAATATATACCTTTATCAATTTATAAGTGAACCTAAGTAAAACATTGCCTTTATCAAGTAGGCCTATATGTGTAGGTTTATATGTGTCACATTTTAAAGTGGAATTATTTATTAAGTTACCTTTCATTGCAAGGTCCTTTGTGAGTGATAAGACAACTCGTCCAGTGAGAGTCTCCCCCGGGTGATATACCTCCACCGGATGATCCAACAAAACATCAAATCCATTCACCGCGCCCATGTTAAACATAATTTCAACCGTAAAGCCTTATGTAACTTTTGCATAACTCAAGATCAGTAAACTATCCATTTAGATACTTTGCATATACACTTCAGTGCTTAAACTGGGAAAATAACTCAAACGCATTAGTCAGCTAGTTTATAATAACTTGTTTATTTGTTCCATTTTGAGTATTCTTATTCCAATTTCTGTGATTACTACATCAACGCATGCATGTATTCTAAATAATCCCAAGAGGACTGCCTGTTTTCTTCCACTGGGGCAACGTCAGAAACAAACGCCTTGTATATACAAGAATGAATATACGTAGTATCACTAATAACATAGTGAACAACAAATAATAACTTGCGATTTTTATCTTTGAAAATATTCGAATACAACATCAAAGACTACGTTGCCTTGTTAAAGACCTGGCGGGTTTAAGTGTCCATTCTTAAGAATCGACTCTTAAAATCCATAGTTAAGATATTCCTATAATCACTATCTTTGTCGACAAATATATACTTTTTTTCGAGTCAAACTGGTTGCAGATAGGCCTGTATGTTCCATCGTTACCGCTTTCTCAACTTAAGCGCTGACTTTCACCTCATATTGAATAGTAACCCCTTCTTATAATGATATGTATTGAGAAAATCATTTCCTGCAATGTACACGAAGAGAAATTGAGCTGCTAGCTACAGGTTCAATTACTTGATGCAGTCAATATCTGATTTCCGTTAGTGTTTTAGTCTCTCTACTAGAAACCACATAATATTTGTAGCCCGTCCTCTTGTGATGAGTCTTCTTACAGCTTATCCGTTGATGGCAGTATTTAAAAAGGACTATAAGAAAATCACAATAGATTTCTGGTTTTGTTTTCAATTATTGTGATTTTTAAACAGTTATTTGCAAACGTTATTTTACAATTTAAGTGGTTAGATTTGATAAGAAAACAGGCGTAACTGTACGTTTCTTTTAATTAGTTTTACGTTATTGTCATCTATTTAAAAATTATACGTTAATTTAAGTAAATTTACTTTACCTTACTAATGCCAACGACGGAAAAATAGGAGTAGGCCTAAAAAGGAGTATAACGTAGTATATCTTCATTTTGACGGTGGTCGGTTTCAGGTACTGACTTTTGTGTTAAATTACGTCAGCGCACTTCCAAGTCGGCAAATTGTGACGTGTAATATTTACGTTGCAATCAAACTTCCTAATGACGGATGTTCGATTCGTATTTAAATTGAAAAATAAGAACATGAAACTGAAACCCTGCATAGTAAGAAAGATACTTGAAATACAAGGTAGAGGAGCACTCGCATAGCAAAAATGAGGCGAACATTGGTCCAGACGTACGCGGCGCCCTTCGTACCCGTTGTATTTAGCAACTACCCTTTTTATAATGCAAGTTTTCTATACTTGGTTCAGACGTATAGGGCGTCCTTCTCTTGCTAGGTACAGAGCCATAGATATAAGACTCTGGCTAGGTATATCCAGACGCCCACGGCGCCCTCCTTTTCCACTAATGGAGGAAAACTTTATCACTAATCAGAGTCCGGTCATACGATTCTGCGCTTTTGTGTCTGTCATTTTATATTGTTTTGATTTATTTATGCCTACTTGTTTGTATCTCATGGAGGATGGCAACGATTTTAACCTACTCAAAAGGAGGTTATATATTCCCATTTATGTAACGGTGGCAGAAGTTTTAAGATCTAGCCGTACGCGGCGCCCCATTGTTTGTATTCCCACCATGCATTTCGGTGGAAAAGTTTTTTTTTCTGTGGCGAACTCTCTCTTGTGTTTCTAGTATCTTTGCTAATAACAAGCAATTATCATGAGGAGATATAACTTTGTGGTTCAAATCATAGACAACGTATAATTATTTTCTCACGAGTGAAAACATTTCCACCCATTAATACCCGTAATGAGGCTTATTTGTAAAGCATCACATTATTTTCAGTTTCAGAGGGCCCTAAATGTCAGCTTACTTGCTAGAAAATGGTATAAAAATATTAATTTAATTTAATTTACTTTTGCATAGCAAAATTGATAGTTTATAATACAAGCTGTATAATACTATCAAGCTAATTGTTGTACTGTCACTTAGTTACATGTTACGCTCTATAAAGTGGTATCTAAAAAAAAAGTTTTATTAGAGAATAGTAACGTAACACCAGTTCGTCATATCAAGAAAGTGCTATTTCTGTATAATGATTTATATTTTCCAATTGAACTTACTTAATCTTTCGTAGTAAAAAAAAACAGTACAGTATTTATCCGAATAAATGCTCTCTTTGAAAAAACCCCTCGATTAAACACCCCCTCCCTTCAGAGCCTCATTTGTAACGCCTCCCTCGAATAAACACCCCGGGTGTTTATTTATTTATCAAATAAATGCCAATCCCCCCCCCCCCCCCTCATAACCCCCCCCCCCCTCGTAAACAAAACTAATGAAAGCAGCATCCCGGGAATAAACGCCTCCTCAAAAACCCTTCTCAACAATAGGGGTTTATTCGAATAAATTCGGTATTCAGTTTTATTACAGTAATTGTTTATATTCATTTGAAATCATAATATTCACATGAACGCATTGTAAACACATCCCTCGGGTAGTCCGATCTGAGAATATCTTTCAGTTTGCAGTTGGTGACGTCGGCGTATGGTGGTTTAGAGTAGTAGTTGAGAGATAAACACCCACTTTCCAATAAGCATGACGCCATACATTCTATTAGGCTACGCACTTCGATTTCTCGCAGAGTATGTCCTTCAACACATGTATTCCGTTCATTGGGATCAACGTGGACAGCGACCCCGTCTTTTACGAACTCATAGTTGTCAGCCCCCTCTTAAGAGAATGATAATGATTTCAAAATATTACAATAAATCTAACATATTTATAGCATTTAAAAAAAATCAAAAGTAATGTAATGCAATAAGATTAAAAATATAGCTTAACTACAATGAAACTCAAATACGTAAGATGTAGACTTTAGAAACACTAAAAAAAAGGGTAAAATACAGTGTTCGAGTAAAGGACAGGATGGTACATCGTGTAGTATAGCTCTCAACGAATGTTGTAATGAAAATAAAAAATGCAAAACCTGTCTCTTATACACATCTAGATGTGTATAAGAGACAGATACTTAAGCTACGTAATAGCTTGTATGTAGAAGCTGGTAAATGTAGGCCCCTTCTATTTCAGTTCCAGGATCCGCCACCTTGTCGCAATGTAAACATGAATAGATAAACCACAATTATTATTAGATTTGGCATATTCTATCTTACCTAGTTCACATACGTGATAGTAATTGTTACTGCATGACACTGAAGCCCAATCCAAGTAAGAACTTGAACTTCTCAGAATAGTACAGTCTTTCGAATCGCCGAATACAGCACTTGTCTTCCATGCTGCTTACCAATTACCATAGTTAAATAATATGAAAAGAAACAGAATGAAAAGATTACAAATGTTCTACGCAGGCCTGAAATTCATCGGTGTCAAAAACTCACTAAACAAAACCATGAAAACTAAACCCTTCAGTGGGGTCTTTTTTGGTGGTGAATTGGACAATGCATCAAAACCAATCCCCTACATCCCTCCTCCCCCACAAAGGTTGATCTGTGGTCTGTATTCACTATTGTAGATTATCGAACCTCTTCCGAAAGAGGCTGCAATATTGTAGTTTTTATTCTATAACACGTACACTACAAGCCATTTCGTGGGAAAAATATGTATAATCTATAACAACTAAATATCTATAAAATGGTGTGTATTGTAATTTGCAGTTCAACACTTGAGAGTGAAACACACAGAGATGAGCGATGGAAATGAACAGGGTCAAAGGTCACCACGGTTGAGCGGACACACCGTGGTTATCCTCAGGTTGCCTACTGAACATAACTCCTCTCTTTAAACTCTCTTTAACCTCAATAACACAGTGCGATGATAACGTAGAGGGTTTTTTTTTGTTTTTTTTTTTGATCGACAAGTCATCAACGGATGCAATAATTGCATAATTTAATGATATTAATGTTTGTGTAATGTTAAGACGGGATTGCCTACAAACTTAAATAAAGAAAAGAATGAGTTTCTTCTGAGCTTTCGCTATGTCCTACGTCTGGAACGCTATTAATTTTTCGATTAGGAAATATCACTTCCAGACCTAAATCGGCTAAAAAAATTTATGATTTTGGAGTTCTGCTGTAATATTTTTAAGAGTAAACACATATTATTCACACTTACGTTCGTAACCTAATATCTGGGCTGAACTCGAGTCCCAAACGTAAGTTCCTTCAGTCGTGATGTCATTATAGCCGATGTAATAATTGCTCCCAGATCCCTGAGCTAAACGTATGGCCTCCAAGACTACGTCCATTTCATATTGTGACGTGATAGATGCCAATTCCATGCCCATCTCGTTGCATCTAGATTTTGCTGTCGAATAATATGTGACACTTTCCCTATTAACAAAATATCTCCGTTGTTCCCAGAGGGCGCCATCAGTCGGATGTATATCTGCGCAAAAATAATGATTTTATATTATGATTGTTTGCAGGCTGATGTCACGTGATTGTATTCGTTCATATACTTTATACACAAAAAATACATCTTTATTACATGATATATATTATTGCACCATACATATTAAGCTCCAACATTCTATAATTTGAGTGATGACAGTATTTGTGAATGAGATCAACTATGCTACGTTCGTTCTTTCATACCGAGCTGGACAATTATTTTCAACGAGATCGTAATTCAATCCACTACAATTTTTGTAACAGAAACTGTTTTATAGGCTATTTATTCCCTCAGCAGCAGTCGATAATTTAAGATGAAGACACAGTGGTAGCCTAATTATTATAATTGTCTTCTACTACTGCTACGCTACTACTGCTACTACTCTAATTATGCTACTGCTACTGCTGCTGCTGATACAGCTACTGCTACTGCTGCTACTATTAATAATGCTACTACTCTGCTACTAGAGCCTACTGTTACTACTTTTATTGCCAATAGAGTATATATTATTGTACCTGCAGCAGCAGCTACGGCTACAGCTCTAGCACTAACTATCATCATCATCATCATTATAATCATCATCATCATCATAATCCGAGTATCATCATTTTCAGGAATCAGTGTAATTTAACTGTTCCCTGATCATTATCACGTTGTTCCAATTACTGTCATTGTTTTGCTATTACTGTTATAGCAATGCGACTGAAAACTATAGATTTTGTCATTGTAATGTAAAAACTAGCTTACCCGCTTCGCAAATGCTCGCCCTAAATGTAGAACAAGAAATATCGTTGTAGCAATTGTCGGAGCTTCGGAACTCTGTACAGTATTCACTTCCACCAGACGGTTCCCCCGAACACCAATCTAATATGAGCAATACAGCCTAAAGTTAGTGTTGATAGACACTTATTATACAAACTGAAATGTATATCTATAATTTGGTAAGATATATATCCGAACGGCATATTTAGAATGACTTCAATTTGCTAGGCACAACTTTAATTTAAGTGCTGTTTGGCTCCGACCAAATTAATGCATCTAAGGCCAGAAAGGGGAGAAAACACGTGTACGATTTACAAAAGAGGAAGAGAGAGAGAGAGAGTGAGAGAGTGAGGGAGCGAGAGCGAGAGAGAGGGAGAGAGAGAGAGAGAGAGAGAGAGAGAGGGAGGGGGGAGGGGGAGAGAGAGAAAAATATCAGAACAAAACAATGGCGGAAAAGCCAAATAATATACAACTTCCTTACTAGATAAAGAACTAGTCGTGCCAGTTCGTGCCCACTTGAACCCATCAGCCTCTTTGTAATTACCAATATAAACGTTCTTATATTTCGTTTTTATTATTGATGTTCGCAACATAAGGCTCTCCACAACCTTCTGTTCTTCTAAGGTGTCGTATGATACGACATCACCTCCGATTTTCTGACAGACTTCTCTCGCTTTGTCATACGGTAATGGAGTCGTATTTATATAGTATTTTTCATTGTGCCAGGGAATCCATGTTATCTCTGAAATGTCAAACAATTATGTCAATCAATCAATTATGTCAATCCAATCAATCAATCAATCAATCAATCAATCAATCAACCAATCAACCAATCAATCAATCAATCAATCAATCAATTAATCCTCTTAATAGGGTTCGCTGTGTCCATGAAAATGTCAGCCTTACCAGCTTCACAGATGAATCCATGCAATGCTGAGCAATCTACGTCCACCCATTGGCCATCGGCTAAAGACAAAGCTGCACACGCAGATGCTGCTAAGCCTTCGCCTTCATCCCAGTCTACGAAAAAAAAAATACATTATATACTATAATATACCAATTGTATGTAAACATTGTGGTAGCGTTGGTGGTAACAGGAGCGACAGTCGTAGTAGTAGCAGTAGCAGCATCAATAGCAGCAGCATATTTTTTCTACTGAAAATTCAAAACAGTAATATCTAGAATAAAGCATGACACATTAAACATCTTTGTCATTTTTTTTATTGGGGTTTACGCCAGATAAGTCTGGCAATACGGCTAGAAATACTGTAGTATATTATATATGATATTGAAGGGAGTTAGCCGTTAACACTGTTGAATAAATATACTGATATAAATCATCAAAAGTACATATACAGTGTTTAATAAGGACATGATGGAACATCGTAGGCTACCCTGTAGCTTTTCAACGAATAAAGTCCTATATAAGTCATTGTGTAATAAAATGGCAATGGCATTTTCAATATCACATATAATATACGACAGTATTTCTAGCCGTATTGCCAGATTTATCTGGCCGAACGCCCTCTTGAGGCGTAGCAGTGTGTAATACAATGTTCCCGACTGTTATTTGGACCTGTTCAACCATGAAGCCTACGTGTCCAGTGGTTATGACGCTCGACTTGTCAGCGGGAGGTCGCAGGTTCGAATCCTGTCTGAGGCATTTTATTACACAATGACTTTTGTGTATAGGCTATATAGGCTATACTAGCCGACACTTGAGTACTAGGATTGACACCTTGGCAAAGACAAAAATTCACACATTTTAAAACATCTAAATGAAAATAAAAAATGCAAAACATTGCTGCTAATACCACTTGTTTCAACGTCATTGACCAGGACAACAGTGAAATTAGATTACGAATAAAAGAATCACTACACATTAAATGGAACAGTCCAAATTTCAATGTTCAACTCAAACATTTAAGCTTACAACTTTTCAATTAGCATACAGCACTAATCTATGCAAGGTGTTCTATACACCTTGCATATACTTATCTAGAACGATCGTTACGTTACCTTAATTGGCAACAGTTTGTTATCACTAATTAATATTCATTAATTTCTTTGTATAAATACTCTTAGTTAAGAATGACAAGATTTTTCTTTCCGTTTATTTCGCCTTTCAGTTTGTACTGATGATGGGTGAGAGAGAACACCCAAAACATGTTTACAATTAAATCCTTAGTTCTTTTCTTAAAATGTGTTGTATTTTTCATCAATTTGCGTCCGTTTGGTTCCATCATCTGCGAGCTTTCGTTTTAGTACGGGAGAAATCTAGTATGGTAATTAGAGCCGAAAATTCATTTGCGCATGCGTGAAAGATTGCATCTTACCGTACCGCGGAATTTGAGGATGGTTCTGAAAATAGCGTCCGGTTCAGAACGCAACGATAAGAGGTTGTCTTGTATGTCAGCATCACGCGGCGAGTGTAAAGGCGATTACAATGGAGTCAGGATTGGTGACTGATGTATCTCGTTGTTAACTTATGATAACACTTTAATGAAATTATGGTTTCATGTTTAAAGTCAGTGATACAACACATAAATTTAGGATGAATATGATTTAGCCAAGTCGTATAGCCCTAGTAAATGTAGATGTACTGTAGGCCTAGATGGACAGCCTCGGCTCGGTTCTAGCCTGGCCTGGGTCTAGCTAGGCCTAGCCTAGGTCCTAATTTATTAAGGTACGTCCGGCCTAGGCCTAGCCTATAATAATGCCTACGCAGCGACAAGTGCCTCTTGAACTATGTGCAAGTTCGCCATGTTTTGGTAACTAAAGTGAGGGCGCGCGTTCGCACGCATATTCCCCCGTCGCGTAAACGGAAACGAAACAACTTCTGAACAGGACGGAAGCTTGGTTGCGAGTACGGTCACGGTCTGTTGGTTCCTCCGTACTGTGCGCTCACCGTCCTCAAACGAAAACTCGGTATAAAGGATTTTAGTTCGGAAGACCTGCCAATTTGTTTGCTTAGGAAGTATGAGAAGATATCCCTACGCTTCATTAAAGCTAAATTGGATTATCATTTTTTACACAATGACTTTTATAGGACTTTATTCGTTGAAAAGCTACAGGGTAGCCTACGACGTTCCGTCATGTCCTTATTAAACACTGTATATCTACCTTTGATGATTTATATTACAGTATATATGTTGTCTCTTATACACATCTAGATGTGTATAAGAGACAGGTTTAATAAGGACATGATGGAACATCGTAGGCTACAAT